AAGATTTTAACATATAGTAGTTCCATTCTAGTAGATGAAGGAAGGGGGCAGTCCCCAGGGCAATCTGAACTTCTGCTTAGTATATTTACTCTTGCCGTTTTCCTTCCTCCTCATTTGTAATTCAGGAGGCTCTCTGACAGACAGCAAGGCTTCTTAGATGGATCGAAGGACCCGGAGCTGGGATACCAAGTTCTATGAAAAGGTCTGCTATTGAATTTGCTCTGTTACCTTAAGGCAAAACACTTGATCATGCTGTACTTTGGTTTCTTCCTGTGCTCGCTAAATGTGCATAACATGCATGCATTTGTGAGTATTACAGAGTATTTTAAATATGTGGGGGATTTATTTTTTTAACGTTGGCTGCTCAGGTGTAATTACAAATCTGTTCCTCTAAGAAGCTAGACTTCGTGGCAGTCCAGTCATCTACTGGCTACTCGTTCATCTGACATATTTTGAAGTTCTGAGCTGTGCCTTACTCTGTACTTGGGGTGCACCTTTTTGTCTCTGTCTTCAGAAATGAAATAATGCCACTTTATGCACGTCTATGCTTTCACCCTCTTCCTCTTACTTGAAAAAAACACAAAGGCTTTCTTTTGGGACAGAACTGTTTTATCTATGACACCAATCCCAAAGAACGAGGGAGAGGTGACGTAGTGAACAGACTTATATTTGATCTTGCTGCTATGGTTCCTTTTTGATGATTGGGTCAGAACCGCTAGAACTTAGATTCAGGTACAGGCTTTTTTGGGGTTTTGGCAGGAAGCAGAGAGTATACTGGACAGAGAACATGAAGTAAACACACCCATACATGCCCCACCTCCTTGTTACAGACTGTGTCATATTAGATAACACGATATCCCCAATACAAAAAGGTGACTAGCTGAGATTCTTAGAACCTGATACATTAAAGAGTTGTGGGTAAGGAATTTGGATTCCTCACCTGTGGATCTCCACCCCGAGAGTTTTATAAAATTTCTGAAGTGCAATATGGGACCATCCATTTTGTTTTGAACTAAAATGTATTTACATTATTTCTGGTGTAGTTAAAACTGAAAGCATTTACCGAACAAATCCAGGGAAAAAAAAGAAGTTTGAGGGCCAATGAAATATGTTACTCCTTAGTTCTAGATTGGGTAGCAGCCGGAAGAACTTCAGACACAGCAACACAGGATAACCCTTCAGTTTTGAAATCTTGCTGGGTCTCCTCGTGCTGTAAATGATCAAAGAAACATCCGGGTAGGTACTGCTCCCAGTGCTCAGGTTCACTTTAAGAGTATTGGGTCCAACTTCCGTTTGCGAGTTCAAGGAAACAAGGCAGCCAGGAACTCTAATTTGGGAGTCGTTCTCCTGCAGGGCCATCAATACATCAAAACATGACTTGTAGGTGTCCCGGCTGCAGGAGCTTCCCACAAAGGCAGAGCTTTCGTTCATGATTTTTAGAAACCTGTAGGCAGCAACTCGTCAGGCTCGGGGAACCAGGCGCGCAGGTGGAAGTGTGGAGAGAGGAGGAGGAGGATCTGGTGCTATCCTTTCCCCTAGATTCTGGCTCACTTTGCAGGCTGTACAAAGCAGGGTGGAAGCCCCTGAGGTGGGGGTCTGGCACGTAGGCTCGAAACGTGAGCTGGACACTACGCAGCTGACCCAGTAACAGGAACTGGCAGCGCTGCTCTCTGGGAAGGACTTGGGATGGCGTGTCTGGACGTGTGAAAGGGATGCGACTCTGCCCTCCTCACTCTCGGGTCAATCTGCACGACCAGGTGAAAAGTCATGCCGGAGGGGGCATGAGGGGCCCGCAGGCAACCACCAGGCGAGGAAAGACTCGAGGTCTTAAGGGGTTTCGTTGCAGCCTTCGGAGGTGAGCTCTCTAGCCCTAAAATAAATTAAAATCATCTCCGCCATTACGTGCGGCAGGGGCAGAGACGGCACCCGGCACGCGCTCTAGGCGAGTGCGCGCTCCCTTTGTCCCGCCTCCCGGCCGGCCCTCATTGGACGCACCGAGCGCTCC